GCAGACCGTACAGCAGCCGAGGCGGCGGGGGGCGGCCCAGCTTGCCCCCCCCCCACCCTGGGGCTAACCCCAGAAAAGTTTCCTTGAGGAGGCTGTTTGGAATTGCCCTTAGAGTTGTAGAATTTGGGCTGGGAGATCACAAGGTACAGAAGCGTGGAGGGGAGAATGAAAAGAGGTTTGCGGTTCCAGACATCAGCCGTACCCAGATTCCTATTTCAGTTCCCTGGGAGAAGCGTCCTGGCCAGCAGAAACCGTCCGGCCTAAGCAAAAAGCCACTGTTCGGGGGTTTTACTTCTTTTTTCCTTTCTAAAACTATTTATTTTTATTGCTACAAGGGAGAAGAAAAACATTACCCCGAAGTACAAAATAAACAAATCTATAAATTGAAGGCACCGGGAGCTCTTGTGCTGTGTGAGGAAGGAAAGGTTTTAAGTGGGGGGAGTCTGGCAGGCGGGCTGCAGGTCTTCCTCTGCTCCCGATTGGGGTGGGGGCTTCCAGTGCCTCAGTTAGGGCCACAAGACACGTCTGCTGTTGCTCTACACTTGCGCAGCCCTACTTCAAAGTCGTCATATTGATTTTAGCAGCCCCTGGCTTTCTGCTTTTCATGTCTTTGTCTTTCGAGCCGTTTCATGGTTGGGCATGTGGAAAACCGGACTGCACCGAACGCTGCAGTGCCCGCTCTGCCTCTTACCTAAGAAACAAAAAGCTTCTTAGAGGTCCCCTTCAGCCTTGTTTCTCGGTAGCCAGACCTTTGTGTTGGCAAAAGCCAGAATGGCAGGCTTGTACCACTGAAGGTGGAAGTGCGGGAAAAGGCCGTGCCGGAGGGGGGAGTCCAAGGACGCAATACGGAGGGCGGGCGGCGGCGGCGAGCAGCACGTCAGGAAATACGAGATGAAAAGCTCTGTGGGCAAAGGTGCCCAGATGCTTCAAGAACGGGTCTCGCTGCTCTGCTTAATATTCCAGTGGAGTAAGAACAGAATCGCTATCGCTGACAAGTCAGGAAAGGCAGCTTTGGGGATTGTGGGGAGAAGGAGGATGAATTTCAGCTCAGAAAGGTCTACAGCTCCAGCAGCTAATCATAATCCGAAGGGAGGCCTTGCAGTTTAAAAATAAATACATTCAAATTCAGGCTTAGCTTTGCTTCAATGACAGCGCAGCCCGGCATAACCAGATCTGATCCGCCACATTTGCATTCTGCTCGATCCCTT